AACTTAGCTACGCATGTTCTCTCACGAAAAACATAATAAAAACATAAAAGGAAATATATTAAGAAAAGATAGACGAAAGAAGAATTGTGATGAAGATTTGTCAATTCTCCGCCTTCGATTCTTCGTTCTCTCGCTCCTCTCGCTCCAAGGTTGTGTCAAAAGTCCTTTGATTCGTGCTTGGTTTGGGCTTAAATAGATGTCCCAACTTGGTAGATGATTCTAGGTTTCCTTGTGTGTTTAAAAGTCCAAAATTGCCTCCAGCGTGATTTGGCACGGCCGCGCGAAAATCAGTGCAATTCTCGCACGGCCGCGCGAGAATCGCCGAACCTTCTGCCCAAATTCAGCATTTGGCACGGCCGTGCCAAAAATAGGCTAATTTTGGCACGGCCGTGCGGGCCTGTTTTCAGCCAATTTCAGCATATTTTTGATTATTTCACTTTTGGCCCATATTTTCTTCAAAATTTAAGTTTTGACCCCAAACTTTTCCAATTCATCAATTTGTACCTAGAATTCCATAAATCAACTTTTTAAGCACCAATTATCGTTAAATCACACCAAAAGCTCAAATAAAAAGATACGATAAAGTGTAAAAATATACACTTAACAATATGCCTCCAATTATAAAGCTTGTCTCCGATTATACGAGCTACCGGTTTTAATACAAGTTGTTGGGTGACCACAGACATTTAATTTTGTTGGAAAAAAAGATCTGAGAGACAGCAAATATTCCAGTTCTTAGGGCCACCATGAATTGACGAAGACGAAAGATGGTCGTTTGAGACAAATCGATGCAGTTGGCTGCCTCATTATCGATTTTTTCACCCTGATCTTTACTTTGAAATTGTTTGTTTCATTAGGATAAAAGTACTTTTTTAATGTTGCGTGTAGTTTTAAGAAATATACTTCGAAATTATATATACATACATATATATTTTTCAAAAATATGATATGCATGTACGTTTGCCATTTGTCTGGATGATGAATGATACTATAGGGATCTACGTCGGGGAGGGCAGAGTAATACATCTCACGAAACTCAACGGCTGGCATGGCGCGGTCTACTCAACTTTGGATAGCTTTCTTAACGGCTGCCCCGAATTACGCCGCACCGAATATACAACTGATGATGCGGCCTCGGACAACGCCGAAGTGGTTCGCAGAGCCTATTCCGCGGTCCAGTTTGGATTCGGGGACAACATGTTGGACTGTTACGACAGCAAAACCTTTGCTATGTACTGCAAGACGGGGAAATATATATCTCGTTCAAACTACAGACACGGGGTCCCCCATATGAGAAACCATCGCAGCAGCAGCACCATACACGAGTTTCGTCGTCCGCACCACATTGATAACCCTTTTCCATCAGCGTCACACCGCCATGATATCGATCGTATTCATGCATTTAATAGGGACTCTCGTCGCCGCATGGAACATGAATCATTGCGCCCCAATTCCCGCCGTCCCTAAATAAAATAACATCTCGGTATATCTTTTATATTGGGATTTGTTATTTTTCAAATGCATCTATTAAGTCGTAATTGTTGCGTGTCCCCTGAATCGTCTATTTTGGATAAATATGGAACTCGATCCGTTAGATTTCAAAATGACTATTGTGTTCTTTTTATGAATTTCCAAGTTTTCTGGCTGGTGCTTTGTACTCTAATCTTTCCAGCAGTTACGCTTGAACTAGTACCGAATTTCGGTTTCGAAATCATAATATTATGGAGCTATTATTTCCAAGGTCGATAAGTTTAATCGTATGGTGTCTTTTTCATAATATCCAATTTATTTTTTGTTGGAAAGATGTTACCAAAATAATTTAGTCAATTAACCGAAAAAAATTAGTCGATTAGCTAAATATATGATACTGATTATGTCAGTATATTGTAGTTGACTATATCAATCAACCATCAGTATCTTATGATTAGGGACAAAGATTTCAAATTTTGATGGGCAAAAATAAATTAATAAAGTGAAATAACTTTATTTTAATGAATCAAACAATTTCAAAGAAAGGAATTCAATCAACTGCATCTTTCGCCATTCCTCCGACCCTTCAAATAGGTGTGTAGCATGTTGTTCTTCGCCCGGGACAAGGATGACGAGTTGGTTTGTACTCTTTCCAGTTATGGGAAGTTTTATGCGAAGGATTATTGGGACCTTCTTGCAGTTACAAGAGGGCGTCGCCGGTGGGCAGAGAAATTGTGGCAGCCATATATCCCTTTTAACCCGTCGGCCTTTTT